CTTCCCTCAGCTGCTCCCTGGCTCCGCGCAGTGGGGAGGGGGCTGGACGGGGCTGCCGGGGCGCCGCGGTGACGTCCCCGCCGTCCCTGCAGAGCTGCGAGGCCATGTGGCAGCAGTGCTCGCTGCAGATCTCCAACGCCATCCAGTACGTGGTGGAGTTCGCCAAGCGCATCGACGGCTTCATGGAGCTCTGCCAGAATGACCAGATCATCCTCCTCAAAGCCGGTAAGAGCTGCGCACCCCGCCGGCCCCATCGCCAGCCCCCGCGGCACTGCCAGGGGCTCCCACTGCCTTTTCTGCAGTTTTCTGCACTTTTTTCGTGCTCTCCGAGCCCCCTGGCCGTTGCCTTGGTCCCTTCGTGGCACTCACCACCTTCCTGACGGTTTCTTTGTGGCCGTGCGAGATGTGATGTTTTCCCTAAAGCCTTGAGACCTTTGGAAGGAAAACGCTGCCCAAACGGGAGCTGCTTTTTTAGCCTCCTTTTATAGAGGCAGAGCAGGGGCGCAGTGGGGACGCTCTCCCTGCCCAGGTGCCCTGCATGCGCCCAGATCACGGTGCAACAACGTGTCCCCAGCGCAGGGCTGCCGCGCTGGAGTTCAATTTTTTTTTTAATTTGTTTCTTCCCTTTTTCCTTGTGTTTCATTTTCACCCTCTCTCGGTGCTCCATCACATTGCTCCATCCCACTGATCGCCCTCTGTTTCCGGATGCTCAATGCCTGGATAATACTTCCCCTTGATGAAATACTGTGGTTGTGATTGGAAGCCTAAGGGGGTGGGAATAGAAAAACAAAACAAAAAAAAAAACACATGAAATTGGATCTGTTTCTCTAAATGTTTTGCTCTTGGGAATTAACAATTTGGACTTCCAATTTGCATGTTTTTTTTTCCTTGGCTTCTTTTCTGTGGTGCTGGGCCCACGGCAATGCCCGCTCCCACCAGGATGCCTGGAGGTGCTGCTCATCCGCATGGCGCGCGCCTTCAACCCGCTGCACAACACGGTGCTCTTCGAGGGCAAGCACGGCGGCGCGCACGTCTTCAAGGCGCTCGGTAAGGGCCGCTCCGCGCGCCCGCCCCGGGCCCTTCCTCTCCCTCGGCGCCCGGGCGGCCTCATGGGCTTCGCGGCCTGGTTACTGCTGCGCGGTGGCATCTCCCTTCCTGGGGACAAGCCGAGGCTCCGCGGAGCCCTGGGCGTTGCCCGACGGGTTAGGGGACACCAGTGACGTGTCCCTCTCCCCGTGTCCCCGTTAGGCTGCGACGATCTCATCAGCGCCGTCTTCGAGCTGGGCAGGAACCTGTGCCGGCTCCAGCTGTCGGACGAGGAGATCGCCTTGTTCACGGCCGCCGTCCTGCTGTCCCCGGGTGAGCGGGGACACGAGGGAACCGGGGGGCACACGGGGCGCTGCCGCGGCGCCCCGAGCCCCAGTGCGACCTGTGGGTGGGCGCCCGGGCAGGGGCCACCCTGGAATCTCAGTGGGGTGAATGTCCTCAGCAGAAGGTCTAAGGCAGTGCTGGGAAAGGAGGATGAGGAGCTCCAGCAGGAGCAGCCCCTTTGGCCGCAGGCTCCGCGGACTCCGGAGGCACTCTGGAGGTGCCTGGATGTCGTGCTGGAAAAAGCTGAGGAGCTGGGAATGTTCAGGGAACCTTAAAACCCACCTGGTGCTGGAGGCCTCGGCGTCCCACCCCCAGGGCTGGGGCTGGGGAGCTGGCGGCAGCGCAGGGTTCGTCAGCCGTCCCCAAAAACACCCTGAGAAGCGAGCAGGTGTCGGGAGAGCCGTGCAATGCGCCCTGCGGGATGGAGGTCCTCTCCGCAGCACTGACTGGGCCGTGGTCGCTCTCCCCCTAGATCGCCCTTGGCTGACGGAGTCCAAGAAGGTGCAGAAGCTCCAGGACAAGATCTACATAGCCCTGCAGCACGAGATCCAGAAGAAACACTCTGCCGAGGACAAGCTCTCCAAGGTAGCGGTGCTGGGCGCTGGCGGCCCGGTCGGAGCAGCATCTTTGTAGGTCTGGCTCACGTTGGGGACGGGGACACCCTAAGGCTGGTGACATGTTGTGGGGTGGCTTTTGTCTTAGCCACACTCAATGCAGGTGCCTCTGCCAGAGCTTGTTCTCCACGCACCGGCGCGTCCCGGCCATCCTTGGGACCTGCCGGAGGAGGAGGACAGTCTCTCCTTCCAAGCACTGGGCATCTCCGGGGCTTCCAGGAGGGGTCTAGACCATGCTGGTGGAGACACCCATGGCCAGGCTGACCATATCTAGGGAAATGTCCATTGCTGCCTGGGCTCTCCTGTTCCCAGAGCTGTGTAGTGACAGTGGGATGACCCCAAACACAGAAATTATGGCCAGTGCAGCTCCCCAAATCCACTCCCATGGCTCCAAAGGATGGGCCGTGCCAATGCCAGGTAGGGCTGACAGGGAACGAAGTTTTCACCGGCTCCATCTCTTTGTTTCCCTACCGATGGTTTCCAAGCTGCCCTTGATGAAGACGATTTGTAATCTGCACTTGGACAAGCTGGAGTTTTTCCGGCTCCTGCATCCGGAGACCGCTATGAACTTCCCTCCGCTCTACAAGGAGGTCTTCAACTCAGAGCTACAATACAGCGACCCGCGGGAGAGCTAAGGCCCGGGGCGGCCAGCGCCCTTGGAGCTCCCAAAGCCTGGAGATGAACTAAACTTCAGAGGTTTGGGGCAGCTTATTTAAACCGAATAATCAAACCCAAGAGAACCTGTGGGGTCGAGGGAGCTCCCAGGCCCCGTTTCCTCGCTGTGGATTGCAATAGCTCTTGAATGTAAAGCACCTTGAAGGAAAAGCAACCTGACTTTGCCATACCAGTGAAATGAATGTGAAATCTCCTCCTGGGAGAGGAGATGCTCCTGTAAGTAGCAAGGTACCGACACCCCCGACGCGCATGGACCCGCGGGAGAGCACAGCCCCAGGGCCCGCGCTGCCCAGCTCCCGTCTTTACTTTCAAACGCCCAAGGCAAAAGCGTGGGATGAAGAAAGGGCAATGCGGACTGGTCCGATAGGGATGGGGGCAGCCGTCTGCTCCCGGCTGCAAGCTCTGCTTTATTCCTGGTTGCCCAGCACAGCTGAAGATGCCAAGGAGGTGGATCCAGCACCGGGTCTCCTTGCAGAGCGGGCTGGTTTTGGGAGAAGGAGTCCCAACGAGAAGGGAGAAGCTTTGCAGGGTCTCCGTACCCTCCCGGGGGCTCTTTGCCCAAAAGCAAGGCCAGCCGAGGCTGCTTGGTCAGGAAGGCTGCCCTTCCCCGCTCCGGCTGTCTGGAAACGCTGCGTTTCGGAGCAGGTTCGGCAGGTCTGCCCACCTCACGTGTTTCTGTTTTTCTCTCTGATTTTGAGGGTTTCTCAAGGAGAGGGGCTTTGCCCTCGTGTTTGTGGCCAAACCTCAGCTCCTGCAGCGGTGCCGGTGCGTCGGCTCGGGCGCTGCTCCCTCGCGCGTCATCACAAGCAGCGGCTCTCGGTGAGCCGGGCTGTCGCACTTAGGGTTTTAGAGACCTCTGCAAATCTTTCCTGTGATCCTGGCATCCCAGAGTAGCTTTCGTGGCCTTTCCTCCTCCCAGCCTAAAGCCAACCCTGCCGCTATGTCCCCTCTTCCCATCACAGGCCCCACAAGGAGCTCTGTATTTGCCTCTTCTTCAGGTCAACTTGGACTCTGTTTTTTCCCTTTTTGCTCTCTGCTACTGGTATTTGGGAGGTTATCCTCCATTTAGCAGTACCTGGGAGCTTTTTAAGAGGAGAAACCCCCTTTTGAGGCAGGGGGAAGTGAAAGGTCCTTTAGCCCAGAAAGTTGTGGTCTGGTCTGGACCCACTGCTCCCAGCTTAGGGGGCTCGGAAGGAGAAGGGATCGTTCGTTCTAGGGAACATCGCCAACTCCTTCCCCTGACCGGCTGGGTCGCTCAAGGGATTTGCCCACTGGGCTCTGCCGATGATTTTTCAGTCCCTGTTCTTGCTCCTCCCGCAACGAATGCCAAAAAGCTACACAGGAAAGAAAACCTGCTGCGACGCAGCCCCGCTTTCTGCTGACAAAGGGCTAAATCGCCAAGTTCTTTCCCTGCTTTGCATTGATTTCTCACACGTACAACCACATCCTCCGGCAGCTTCTAGCATCGCCGAGCGCAAAGCCAAAACCGTCGACTCCGTCGTCGCACCCCCCGAACCAAACGAGCTTTATTAGCAACGGCCATAGATATTGGCACTTTCCAGACCTCCCCAGGGAGAACATGGACCAAACTCATTCAGGGAAGACTCGCCAGGAAGCCGCTGGGATTCCTGCAGGGAAAAGCTGAGGAAAAGCTCAGCAATCCGCTCTTTTCCCAGCGGCCGGGCGCTTTCGGGGTTTGTCTGCCGCTGTCCGAACTGCTTATCGGAGCATATCAGATGTTGGCAGCCTCCTTTCTTCCCTCGATGTCGTCACCCCCGCGTCTCCGGGGAAGGCTGCTGGGCGGCCGCTGGCCCGTCACAGTGTTGAGTGCCAATACGTTGTTCTCCGACGCAGTGTTAGCCGGGCTGGGGATGTGCCGAGCTCGTTTCCTTTCCCCCTCCAACCTTGGATCCTAAAGCTTTATGGAAGTGAAAAGTCAGTATTGCCTTTTTCGTCTCGAGGGTTGTGCCTTTTTTTAAAAAAAGTCATTTCCAACAGCACCGTTCGCTTCCTGGCTCCTCTCCTAGGGGAGACAGGCCATGGGGAAAGTGCTCGAGAGGGCGAATGTGCTTTGCGGGGGGTCTCCATCGATGCCCCCCTGCAGAAAGGGCAGGCCCTCTCTCAGCGCAAAGAGCTGCGGGTGTTTTGAAATGTTCAGGAAAAAAAGCACATACCCTTCCACGTCCTCGGTATTCGCCAACCACCACGCACCATGGTACACGTCACCGTTTTCATTTCATCGGCAAAGACAACAAGAAAGCACCTTAAATCAGGAAAAGACTGAGCCCTCGCCACGAGCTTTGGACGCAGCAGCTCTGTGTTGGGAGAGATTTGGTATTCTGAGCAATAAAAGCCCATGTGGGAATCGAAGGGCGACTGGAAGTATTAGACACTGATAACCCAGCCTGCTCGAAGGGCAGGAACCAGCACTTTTAACTTCTTTTTAAAGGAAAGGACTGGATGATTAAGTGATGTCTTGGGAGGTCTGAACTGGTTTTTTACCGGGAGCGGAGTGCAGGGTTCCACCTCCCGAGGGCCCAAGGAGAGCGGGTCGCGTCGGGCGCCGGGTTCTCCTGCCACTGGAGCAGGACGGGGCCGCGCAGCGAAGCCCCGCGGCACCCGAGCGGGTTTCAGCCCGCGCCTTGTGCCACGCGGCGCCGCGGTCCCTTCCTGCGCCCGCGCGAGAGCCGCGGCTTCCGGCATAGGGACAAATCACGGATTCTTTTTTAGGGAAAGGCTGGATGAACGGGTAGGAATGTCCAAGCCTGGAGGCAGCGGGAGGTTCCTGCGCCTCCGCTCCCGCCCGGCCGCGGCGGAGCGGGACCAAAGCAGGGAGATTTCCTCCTCCTGACCGGCGCCGCGGTCCCTTCCTGCGCCCGCGCGAGAGCCGCGGCTTCCGGCATAGGGACAAATCACGGATTCTTTTTTAGGGAAAGGCTGGATGAACGGGTAGGAATGTCCAAGCCTGGAGGCAGCGGGAGGTTCCTGCGCCTCCGCTCCCGCCCGGCCGCGGCGGAGCGGGACCAAAGCAGGGAGATTTCCTCCTCCTGACCAAGCCGCATGCGGCCAGCGGAGCCCTGAGGCCACAAACGCGTCCAGACGCTCAGTCCTCAGCGTCCCGGAGAAACGTTCCCCTCCCGCCGGCCGCCAGACGTTCGGCTGCTTTATTTTAAGAGGTAGCGAAGCTAAAGGCTCCCTTTAGGGGGACGACCTCAGCAGCGAGGGATTGCTCTTTTCCAGATGAAGATTAATTTTGTGTTCGTTTGTTTGCTATGGCAGTTTAGCTGAGTGTGCATTTCCACCTCCAGAACCCTCACACTGTGTATAAAAAATGGATAAAATATATAATAATATATATTCTTGTGAATGTTGGTGCAAAAGAGAAAATATATAAAGTTTCAGTCGGTTTTATGTTATTTTTATCTATATGAATGAAAGGAAGAAATGGAGAACATTTTTTCCATCTGGCACCCCCCCTACACACACCTACCTGTAGATACCAACAGGTTTTATGGAAATGTTTTACTTTTTAGACTTAGGAACATGCTTCTGTTCTCATTGAATGTTCTGTCTTGTAAGATTGTAATTTCTATTTTTTTAAAGAAAAGAAAATAACTAAATAATAAAATTTCCTCTTTTCAGACCAGTCAGCTAGGAAGGGAGGGCAAGGGAGGGAGAAATGTTTATTTAAGGACAAAAGCTTTGTCTGAATTTTTCATGACATGAAATAAAAAGTAATATAATGTATGGAAGAATAACTTTTTATTGAGGTGTATTCTATAGGCATATAGCTGTATGTTGCACAAAATTTACAGGAAGAAAAATAAAGTCTGTTTTGCAAGGTAAACAAAAAAAAAGAAGTAATCCTGGGGGAAGTAGTGGCTGTGATTCTGCATTTCAGCAAACGGGGAGGCTGCAGGCAAAGCCCTCAGTCAGTGAAAGACCTTGAGTTTGCTTGAGCTGGCTCTGGACCAAGGCCTAATCGGAGCTGTCACCCAGCACAGTACACACAAGGCTAAATTTTAGCAATTTTAAGGTATTATTGGTTCACTTCAACTCAGCACGCACTGCCGGGCCTTGGGGAGCTGGTGCTGAGACAGGATTTGTGCCTCGTCCAGGTGCGTCGGGGCTGGAAACCTCCCGTGGACACAGCACGCTGCTTCCACGCATCTCCCATGGGGTTTCCCGCATGGAAAATGGGGCCTGGGGACAGGCTCCGCTTGGGAAAGCGCCGCCGAACCGCGGCTTCTCCAGCGGGATGCAGATGGCACCTGCGCGTGTTAAATGCACAGATCTTCCTCCCCTTTCCCCCTTAGTTTGCCCCAAGAAGCCCCTTGGCCGCGAGCTGCTCCGCTCCCCGGGCAAACCCGAAGCAGCCGCTGTTCCCCGAGCCAGGACCAACGGGAACCGGTGCTGCGGCCAAGGGGACAAACCCGCTGTGAGTGGCGTGGGAGGGTGCGGGGCTTCCTTGAAAAAATACAATCTTTTTCCAGGGGAATCACAGTTTTTTGGGGGTAAACATTTTAAAGAGTCGGGGAAAGCTGTTTAAAATTTCTTGGCAGAGCTCTATCTTTGGGATGAGAGACGCCCATGGGGAGCTGCCTTGGAGCCCTGGGAATGAAGCCGCGGGGATTTGCTGGGATGAGCGGAGCGGCCGCGCGGGATTTGCCGTCCCGGACAACGGGTCCCCGGGCCTGGCTGCAGGCCCCGCAGCGCTGGGTTTGCTGGGGCGGGGGGACCTCTGCTGGCGCGGATAGAACATTCCCTGGATAGAACATTCCCTGGATAGAGCATTCCCTGGATAGAGCATTCCCTGGATAGAGCATTCCCTGGATAGAGCATTCCCTGGATAGAGCATTCCCTGGATAGAGCATTCCCTGGATAGAGCATTCCCTGGATAGAACATTCCCTGGATAGAGCATTCCCTGGATCATTCCCTGTGTTTCTGCCATCCTCCCAGACGGCGCCGTCCCGCTCCCCTATCCCGGGCGCCAAGGGGGACGCGGGGCCTCCACCCTGGGCGGGACCCCTGGAGCCTCCAACTTGTGGCAGCCCCCAAGCCCTCTATTTGGGGCAATTTCGGGGCTTTTGGGGGGATTTTGCCCAAACGGGGCCCGCGTGCGCGCGCGTGGCAGCCCCGGCCG